ACCTATCATTTAATCACGTATAAGGCCACATACTAACTAGTGCTAAGTATACACAATGTACAACATCATCATCATAACTTAAGCCTATAATAGGTGATCAAGTCATAATTCCCTAACATGAAATCACATAAGCAAGTAAACATGCTTTAACACATAAAGCACATAACACGTAATCTAGTTAAACATGCTCACCATATACAAAATCATGATAGAGACATAACACCTTCTCATCTACGCATAGATAAGCTAGATAAATAGCATATGACATAAAACAATAACACCATATACTTGGACGAGCAATACGTAACAACGCATGGTATAATAATAAATCAACTACAGTTAAGTGGAACACATATAATACATATTACGCGTAGCACTTAACATATAATCACTATTTTCATATAATATACTTCTTTCACTTAAGCAAATAACACATAATCACATAAAGCATGCTTTAATTCATCAAACTGTCATACAACGAATTAACACAACAACATACACAATTAAATACCACATATGCTACTAATACACGTCTACCCATTCCCATCATCCCTAGGTAGTCAAACCTAGAGTTCTGATACCAAGTTTGTAACGACCCAAACCCGGGGGTTCGAATCGCTATCCGGGTCCTTACCCGAACTCGAGGTAGTCTAAGGGATTAAAGTCCTGTCCAATGTCAATACATAACTCATATATCATTTATATACATATAATGAACTCTGGCATGGCTGGATGAATAGGGAAATAGGGTTAAAGGGACTAGGCAATGTCGGTTGGCTGATGGCCCTACGTCGGCCGGCTGAAAAGCAAAGGTCAGTCGGCTGACTGAGTTAATCAGCCGGCCGAAACGATGGTTCATGAAACCCAACTCTCTGACTTGCGTCACTTGCCTCGGCCTCATATTGCGCTGTCGGTCGGCTGGCTAGTCTTGACAGCTGGCTGACAGGCCCTGGAAGCTGAAAGAAAATTTGTAGTTCATGGTTTTAAAGGTCTTGAACCCAACCGGGCTTATTTGTGAGCTAAAACCTGATATAAAACCTATCCCAGTCACAACAAATATAATGTAAAGTCCCATAATCACAATTGTCAATAAAGTCGTTCAAACTGGTTCATTTTCATCCCATTTATCCAAGAGTAGCAACATAGTCCGTTACATGTTTTAATGGCCATTACAAGACACTTGAAGTTAAATCAAAATGATAGACAAGGGACATGGTTATGATAACAAGACCACAAGTTACAAAATTATACATAACATGTTAAGGCTTTACAAACATGGGATTTTAATTACAAAGGATAACAAAAATAATCTACGAGTCCACCTAAGTTTGTGGAGGAACATCGTCCACCACTTCCTTCCCCTGACCTAACAATAGTAATGAAGGGGCGAACACAACGACTCAGTATGAAGTGCCTAAAACACACCTCTTGATGATCTCGTGAATCCAAACAAAACATAGAAAGAGGAACCGAGATTATGCTACTTTAGGAAAAAAATATGCCAACAACCAAAATCAACCAAACCATACTGTATAATGCAATGTTAATGGGATGCCAATGGGATGCTAATGTTGCTCCCCATTTCTAAAACCTTTTCCATTCACAGCAACTTTCTAAACCGTTAACGTAACCCGGCTCATGGCAAGTCCATGGCACCACGAGAAAGTCATTGACTAACTATCCCTGACCACATAGCATCTCCAAGGCATCATTTGGGGCCTAGGTAGCTTAACCACGCTAGGGCAATCTCCCTAGTTCCTTTTAGGTCCTATTAATGCCACAGACCCTAGGTTCCTAGGCGACTGGGTTTTCGCAAATCTCTTTTCAAATCTTTTCCCCTAATTAATTTTTTTTTCTTTTCAAAAACAATTTTTCCAATTCTTGCCCAATGACATGCATGAATGCTTCATGCCTTTCAATGCCATGTCAAACATACAATTTCACATATTACATCTATATCATGCTTGCATACTTTGGAAAAAGATTAAATCAACAAATTCTCAAGCAACCTTCACATCACATTCACATCAATTATAGTATTTGACATCTAAATCATGATATAGCATAATTTAAGTGTACATCTTCAAAAAATTACAATTAAGCATGCAAATTTACACATCTTCACATATAACACTACAATCATGCTTCAGACATATATACATATATCTAAACCCTACTAGCCATGAACAAATGCCACAATTAAGCGTGCTAGAATACAATTATAAACAGGTTAACTCACTAGAATCAAAGATTGCATGGTTTACAAAACCCCAACCTCAATAATTAGAGAAAAGCCCCAAATTGCCCAAATTTTTGAAAATCTGAAGGTGTTCCAAATCAAACTTTGATTCGATCAAATCAAAGCTCTTGACGCGCTCTCTGACTTTGTCGACTACGGCAACTTTCAATTCTAATTGGAAGGGGATGGATCTAAGGCTTTTGTGTGTCAAAAGGAAAAGAGAAAAGAGAGAGAGGAGGACTCGCGGCTACTGAAAAAGAAGAAAAATGGGCCAAAATTTTTGGTCTTATGGTCCTTATAATGGCCTTTAATCAAGTGAGGCCCATTTGGCCAAAAAAAATCCCTTTTTATCTTTTTATGCATACAAACATATATACACGTGCCATTATTACATATCTAGGTACAAAGCCACACAAATATGCACCAAATAAATAAATATGAAGTGAAATGATACCGAAAAATAATTCCATGCACGAAAACTTCGGGTGCAGGTCCCACCCGAGACCTCCAGATCTAAAAATCTGAAAAATGTTGAAAGGGCCAATAATGCATTTCTAAGAGTCTTGAACTCGAATAAATACCCCAATCAACTCTCGGGACTCACCGGGCACACCCCACGGTGTCCGGCAAGCAAAACGAGGCGATAAAATAAATAAATTCAAAATTTTGAAAAATGCCCGAAAAATGAAAAAATGTAAAATTGAGAAACATTACATATTAAAATTAGTTCAAATCTTGGGCGAGTTTATAGACTACATGAATACAAATAGGATGTGTCTCAATTATCTACCCCGAATTGTCTTCAACAAAATAGAGTTGTTGAGAGAAGAAATATAACTCCTCTACTTGACATGGTTAGATCAATGATGAGCTATTCTGATTTACGACTTTCTTTTTGGGATTAGCTCTAGATACTACAATGTACATGCTAAACCATGTCCCATCTAAGTCGATACTTGAGGCTCTTTATGAACTTTGGACTAGGCGTAAACCTGGTCTTAGTCATTTTCATATTGGGGTTGCCCTGCTTATGTGCAGAAAGGGAATGTGACTAGGTTGAAATTAAGGTCGGAAGTATGTTTGTTTGTTGGCTATCCCAAAGGAAGGCTGGGTGGTTTATTTTGTGATCCTAAGATAGGGATTGAAGTTTGGTATGGACAAAAGCGTGTGTTTCCTTTATTATTCCTATATATATATATCAGGGAAAAATATCATGCTTAAAACATGGGAAGTTTGTAATCGCGAAAGGCCATATTCGAAGTATTTTTTCCCTTCTTTTTTTTTTTTTTTTTTTAAAGTAAAATTAAAAGGGACAGGTAAGTTTTGAACTTGGGTCGTTACTAACCATTTTTAATAAAAATAGCAATTTAGAATTAAAAAAAAAAAAAATCGCTAAAAAACTTTTTTAATCCAATCATGTTGTAAGAAGTTGTCTATCATTTCATTTTTTGCTAAACATGTGATGTCAAAAAATATTCTTATATATATATATATATATATATATAGAGTAATAGTAATAATATTAGTTGATTGCCTTAAGAAATTTTTAGAATTCTGAGATGGAGAAAACCAAAACATTAAAAAGTAAATTTGAGCCTCACGTGGCTCTATCATTGTTTGATAACGGGTCTATATAAATTCTATATTTTTATAAAACTCAATTTGAAAAAATGTGATCATAGGGTTAAATTATTGAAACTTTGACATGGTAAAGTTAAGTCCAAGTTGAAGCGAATACATCACTAATTGTTTGTTTTATGCCGATCCAGGCTGATTTTGAACACCTCTTGGTTCTTGCCCCAATCATTGACGTCCCTGGTAAATCTTAGTCATGTCATACACTCGATGGGAATATAGCGAGTGGCACAATAATTTCACATTTTTCAAAGATGCATGTCCATATCATACCTTTTAATTCTAGCCACATATTATAAAAATTTAAGAATGACATGCTTGAATATACATGAATATGCTTAGTTTGTAATTCAGAAAACAATTTTCTTATTTAAAAACAGGAATGGACTTGCATTGACTAATTGCTCGCTTGAATATTTTTTTTTATTATTATTTTTTTTATTACTAATATATTCTACTAATTTACTCTTTTTCAGCTATATACCCCTAAAATATTACTATTAACACCCCCTAAAATTACTAAAAGATTTCATTATTTCCCCCACCTTACCTTGTTTTTTGGTTCGTCCTTGTCTGAAAACAAACTTTTTTATAACTGAATTTTCATAAAACAATCCTCAAAAAACTGAACTAAGCAAAATATTTTGTACAATTTTCTATTTTCTATTGTTCTCATTGTTACAAACCAAGCATGCCATAATAACCAATAACTACAGTGATTAGATTTTTGACTGACTTTTGTCAAAATTTAACTCCTAAGGGGAGTGGATTTTAGTTCATCTCAAACTAGAACTCAAAGTGTGGTCTTTATTCAATTAAACAGAGTCTAATGACACGGCTGGTTCTAAATTTTAAGGGCAAAATTCAGGAGTTCTAGAGAGAAAATGAAATCTAATTGTTTATAGCAATCAAAACTTGTGACATGAGTTATACATACATACACTATGAATATGATATCTATTTGTTTGACATTATAAACCAAATGTCAAAATTATACCATAGATATATGGTTGTGTAAATTTATCTCCTAATTGTGGAAGGACTGTCTTCACATTCCACATTTAGGACTTGAAGTACAATTCTGGTTATCAATTTTTGTGATTGCTAATGTAATAAACCGCCTCAATGAGAAGAAGTCATCATCTTCAAACAAAGTAAAAAACCAACTTCTGTACATTAACAAATAAAGAACATTAAACAATTATCAAGAGCAATCATTATTAACAAAAGAACCTGTAATTTAAAAAGGAGGAAAAAAAAAAAAACAAGAAAAAGAAAGAGAGAGAGAGAGAGAGAGAGATCCAAAACATCGATGCTTCACACGATCTCAGTGTTACTGAACGATTCAAACCTGGGTGCGGTTAGGTCCACAGCTTCATCATCTTGAGAATGCCAACTTCTAGCTTTTGAAGTCAAAATGATCAATCTCTCTATGTCCACAGCGGAAACAATGTCTGAATCTTTCCCATTAGATATGACTTGCTTGAGCTCCTCATCATCTTCAATGGGATCCTCAACTTGTTTGTCAAGCTTCTCCAAGTCTGTTTCACCTCTCATGCTGGGAGAGGTGCTCTTTATGATGCATGAGATAGTGAGTATTGTGTATCAATTAGTAACTTAGCAAAATGGTAAATCTAAATTATTTCCACCGAAAAAAGAGGCCAAAATCGATGACATTCACAACTATTGATTCACTAGAAAATAATGTTTATGGATGATGAGTTCATTTTAAATTTTCATCAATAAACAAAACAAGAATTATGTCGTATCATACCAAGTTTCTCTGATAATGACCATCCAACCCTTTGGCATATGAGGAGACAGACAACTATTACTCTACTATCACGCCTGTTTTGAAGCGGAGATCACAAGAATAAGAGTGCCATTCAATTACCCGTAACTCCATCTTTCGCGAACATGCCAAGTAAATCGAGATTGATTGTCACTTTGTTCACCATCACCTTCAGCTTGGCATTATTTCTTTATCAAATTTTTTTATTCCACTATGCAGTTGGGTGACTTCTCACTATTTAACCTTATTTTAGTTTGTCATCGTTGTAAGTTATGTTTGATATATTTGTAATTTTATATCATCACTGAATACGATCGATTTTTTTTCTTCTTTTTCTCTTCCATTCTCTTTGTACAAAAGAGTTAAAAGGTAGGATGATGAAACTGGGAAACAAAATTAGGCGGGAAATTAATGGGCCCTACATGTGTATGGGACTATGGGTAAATCGACTTGGTATCTATTTTACTTTGACGCACTTAATAATCATGATACTTTATTATAGTTTAAATAATATTGAAAGTAGTTAATTATACATCAATAGATCTTCAAACTTTATTGGTACAAATAATAAATTTCTCAACATTGAGCAACTGTTTCCAAATAACCAACCAGTGCATTTTGTTTTCTACAACAGTGCATTTCATTTGATATTTAGTTCAATTTTGTCTGACTCAAAATATGCAATGATTGAAATTGTCACCGGTAGTATTTGAGACCTAAATTCAGCCTTCTGAGTTTGGAAACTAAAACAAAACTGAGAGATTTTTCTCAATAGGTGGTTCTAAATCTAACAATTGTATGTGTGACCGTGGCATGCTACCGGTTTGTTATGGAAATCTAGAATTTCATTCAACTGGCAGATACTTTGGAAGGGTGAGTTCTGGAATGCAACTTTCCAATAGAAGTCAACAGGGTATTTTAGTAAATTTATTCTTCATTCTGAAACCTCTAAGCCCCTCCATTTTATTTTATTTTTTTTTATTTATTTATTTTTTTTCACGTGAAACCAAACATGGTGGGGTATGAAACCAAACATGTGATTTTTCCTTTACAAAAATGATGATGTGGCATGTTTTGGATCATTGGATGGAGGATTGGAGATACTTGGAGAGAAAAAATGTTGGAGAGGATCCAAATCCCCACTATAATATCATATTTCCTCCTCCATTTTGCTTCACTGAACAAACCCTACACCAAATTCTCCCAACCCTCTTGTTTCTCTCTCTATGGTCCGTTGTTGTTATGGCTGGAACCACTCCTTCCTTAAAGCATATGAGAAATGATAAGGGTAAATCATCTACCACACAAACGTTCATTGAAGATATTCTGGAAAACGATGATGCGACAAAGAGGTATGGGGCAACTTTCAGTTCTTGACCAGTTAAGTGGAAAAGAAGGTTGATTTTAAAAGAGCTGGATATTACTCGACTGGTGAGATGTTTGAGAACAAATGATGAAAACCGATTTGTTAGTTGGATGGTTTAGTTAATGAATATGTACTCCGGATATTCTACCCACTAACACTAATCATTGTCCGTTGTTGTTACGGCTGGAACCACTCCATTTGTAACAATCAAATTCTGGAGGGAGAGAGCCCTTGTACAACACTTGAGTAATGATAGAAGTGTTATTCCTCTTGCCACGAACTGCCCAAGTGTGTGTGAGTGTGCAAGTGTGTTGGAGCAAGCAAGTGTGGGAATTACGCAGACCAAGGCCTTGTGCGAGTAGAAGCAACGTCTTGGTGCCGCACGGGTGTGGCTAGAGTGGTGGAGAAACTCTAAGCCTGTGACGGTATTAGAGTGAGATTACATGCACAAGAGTAGAGTGTGCCTGGGTACATCAGCGACAAGGGCGAGCGTTGGGAGGATGACGTGAGGAGGTGACTCACGAGTGTGGGAGTTACGCTGACCAAGGCCTTACGCGGGTAGAAGCAACATCTTGGTGCCGCACGGGTGTGGTTGGAGAAGTGGAGAAACTCTAGGCCCGTGACAGTTGGTATCAGAGCGAGATTACATGCACGTGAGTAGTGTGATTGGGTACATCAGCAATAGGGGTGAGCGTTAGGAAGACAATGTGAGGAGGTGACTCACGGGTGTGGGAGTTATGCTGACCAAGGCCTTGCATGAGTAGAAGCACCGTCTTGGTGCCGCACGGGTGTGGCTAGAGTCGTCGAGAAACTCTAGGCCCATGACAATTGGTATCAGAGTGAGATTACATATGTGTGAGTAGTGTGCCTGCGTACATCACCGATAAGGGCGAGCGTTGGGAAGACGACTTGAAGAGGTGACTCGAGGTGTTGCCAAGGAGGGACCATATCCATTAGGCGAGTGCACCGGGGAGCTGCACAAGGAAGCAATGGAAGGCCGCGCTAGCAGGAGGCCGGGTAAGCCGAGACTCGAGGGGAGTCGGTCCAGGCATGAAGGCACAGTCACAGAGTCGTCGTGCTCGAGAGGAGTCCCTATGTCGTGCTGGTGGCAGAGGAGCAAGTACCAGGACGGGGGAGTGCTTTTGGTGTGATGGCAGTCATCACACGAGAGAGTGCCCCACGAGAGGGAGATAGCTAGAGCAGAAGCGCCGTTAATAAAGTTAACTTCGGTGTAAGAAGGCACATAACATGCTAGAGTTCCCTGAGATTGTCACGTTGCTAACACCAAAGAAGAAAGAGGTTCTAAAGTCTACCCCGGTCGTGAAGGAGTGCCCGAGAGAGCCGCAATAAGAGGGCCAAGTGGGGGAAGGTATGTTGAGTGAGATCATGCCAAGTAAGGAGAAGAGCTAGCCACCCACTTGTGGGCTTGAGGAGGAGGAACCCCCTACAGAAAAGATCAATGTGCAGGAGTGCACGGGAGAGCTGCTAGCAAATGGCAGTATGGTAGTAGGCATAGGAGGCGAGATCGTTCCACGCAAGGAAGAGTCCTTGCCGCCCATTGAGGAGCTTGTGGGCAACACTGAAGATGAGAAGACCATGAGTGCGGAGGTGCTCATGGAATGTGTTGGAGAACAGATGGGGGAGTCCACGAGAGTCATGCCAAGTCATGCAGGAAACCTGGACCTTGGAAGAGCAGGAGCGGAACGCCTTGCCAGTAGAGGACGTGAAGAGGGACAACAAGGCTAACGTCACAAGGGTCATTGGGCACCAAGGGACATTGTGACCAACAAGCACCCGTAGGAGAGAGGTACAGAGATAGCTCGTATGCGAAGGAGACATGCAACAGGAGTATCTTGTCAAGTGGAAGGGGTTCCCATACGAGGTAGCAAGAAGAACATTGGGTGGGGGAGAATGTCACAGGAATTGGGTGGGGGAGAATGTCACGCCCTGCCTAATTGCAGGGAGGTTATGCCACGCAGGCAACACGTGTGCGTTGAGGAGACGTCTGCATGGCATAAGAAGAATATAGTAGCGTAGAGTTCTAGAATCTTCTGGAATTGTGTAGAGAAGTGTGGAATATTGTAGAGAGAGTCCGAAGGTTCTAGAATATTGGAGAATGTTGTAGATATTTGTATAGAAGTAGAGAACTTTCGAGAAGGGTAGAGAGCTTTGTAGAACATTATGTAGGAAAGTTCTAGAAGCTAGGTAGGATGCTTATAAATAGGAGATGAGTTCATTTGTAACAATCAAGCTCAGGAGTTAGAGAGCCTAGTACAACACTTGAGTAATAATAGCAATAGGAAAATGATTCTTGAACAGAATAATTGCAGTGAATAGCTAGACCTACTCTTTTAATTGGTCAATTAGGCAACAAATAAGAAAGTGGAGCCCTCCACTTAGTTGTATTTGGTATAAATAACCAATTAAAAATTATTCGGTTAGGCAAATCACTGCAAATGTTCGGTGTGAGTATCACTACTCAGAAATATTATTCCTCTTGCCACTAACTGCGTAGGTGTGTGAGTGTGCAAGCCATGTGGAAGGCGTGAGGCACTACAACACGAGTGGAGTGTGTTGGCACGAGCAAGTGTGAGTGTTAGGGTGACCAAGGCCTTGTGCGAGTAAAAGTAACATATTGGTGCCGCACAAGTGTGGCTGGAATGATGGAGAAACTCTAGGGCCATTACAATAAATTCTCAACTAATAGAAGTAAAATAAAAGGATCTCAACTATAAATTGGAAAGGCTTAAATAAATTTCTCTCTAGAGTTAACAGCTAAACAAAATAGAGGCAGTGAAATTGGTTGTCGTAACTAGCTTGGAAATAGCTAGAATGCTTGATTTTCAACTATGTCCCTTCTAATAGTTAAGCAAATATGAACATAAGCGCCAAAAATAAAATGGTTAGGAATATGTTATGGGCTTACATGTTATACTATCTACAAAAGGGAATACATATGTATAAGATAAGCAAATTGAGCCAATAGAATTAAGAAATTTGAAGTAAATATATATACCTGATGAAGATCAATTGAAATGTTTCGCCTTCTAGATTTTTCTGGTGCAATAGTTGAAAGGATTTGAACCACCTCGCTCATAGTTGGCCGTGAATCAGGATCCAATAGCAGGCACTCCTTTGCTAAGTAAGCCATTATTTGTATCTCTTCCTCTAGGAAATTCCCTTTCAAATGTGGATCAGGCAACTCCAAAATTACTCGCCTACTATCCTGTAAACGGGGTGTAGCCTGCATAAGATGGAGAGTAAAAATTATATCAAATATTATTATGTATTAGCACCCAACTTCCCATGGAAAAGGTCAAGGGAAAGGTGGGAATCATACCACAATCACAAGAATTCTAGTTCGAAATTTCAAGAACAATGATGATGACAATAAAAACAATAATAAATGTTACTAACAACAACAACGGAATTCTCAAATACATCTATTAGTGATGAAAATATTAGCCTAATGCTTGATAGGCAAGCAGAGGTGTCCTAGTATAAAAGCTTAAAAACGACGAGATGGACCAATTAAATATAATAGTTTGCACGCAAAAGATAATGGAAATCACATCATGTTGAGATCTAAGAAAACTCAAACCAGCTCTGATATAAGCTTTTCATTACAAACATATGTTTTTTAAGAATAAAGGATAATGAGTTACTGTACCCAAATGACAAGGCTTTCTTCTCCTTTATTAGGTGATTTATGGATGGGTTGCCGACCAGTGATCAGCTCAAGAAGAACTACCCCAAAACTGAAAACATCTGACTTAAGAGAAGCTCTCCCAACAATCGCATATTCTGGTGCAAAATAGCCAAAAGTCCCCTGCATTCTAACTGGAGAACTGGAACCGCTGGGAAGGCCATCATTTCTTAAATGTTTAGCCATACCGAGATCAGTAATCTGCACATACAAACCTGAGCTAGTAAGAAAAAAATACACTACACTGATGTATACTAGCATCAGATATTTAAAGTATTACTAGCAGAATTAAATATTCAAGGCTTATCAGATGAGAGATGAGGAAAATTATTATTAGTAGTACTGCGTTATTTCCTTTATTTAAGTGAGTTTGAAGCTTGATCAAGCCAAGTTGGCTGGGATAGGGTCATAATCAACATAATTTTGGCTCTCTCTCTCTTTCCCTGGCAGTTAAACAGCATATCGTACCTTTGCTCGCCAATTCTCGTCTATGAGAATGTTTGATGATTTGACATCTCTATGCAAAATTCTTGGTGCAGCTGCTTCATGGAGATACTCCAAGCCCCTGGCAGCTCCAAGTGCAATTGCAACACGAGTACCCCAATCTAGGAATTTCCCTGAAGCCCCATCCAAACACTCTCTCAAATTACCATTAGGCATATACTCAAATACTAGCAGCCTCTCATCATGCTTTCCTCGATTTTCTGAGCAGTAGCCCAGCAAAGGCACCACATGGCAATGATGGAGTCTTGATAGCAATTCAATCTGAACAAAACAACAAATTCAACAATACGGTACGGCATACAATAACTTGTTCTTGCCTCTCTCTTACAAGATGTCCAGACACAACAGTTGTTTAACGACACATTGACAATCATAGTGGTTTGAGATAATACCTCAGTCAAGAAAACAGCTTCCGAATCTGGCCCTCCCTGAGTTTTCAATCTCTTAACTGCTACAGTTCTATTGTCTTTGAGGTGACCACAGTAAAGGTGGCTGCTACTCCCGACTCCTATCATATTAGAATTGGAGAACTTATTGGTTGCAATTTCCAAGTCAGAATATGAAAATTGTATAATTGTTCCACGTAGTGTCCTTGTTTTTCCTCTAAACAATGAAGCCTTGTGAACCCAACCTGTAAAAACACAAGTAAAGGTTTATATGTATTAGTTCACGGAGGAAATTTTTTTCGAAAAATGTCCTATGATACCAAGAACCTAAGTGTGTATCCCAAGTTCATAGAATTGTTCAACCTAACTCAAAGCAACAGACAAAAGCCAGTTTAAATAAGATACATAAAAGGCAGCAACATAAGTTTCAAGTTTGGAAATCTACAAAGAAAGGTGGTATCATTTTAAAAACTGATCTTACCTATTATAGGGTTAATGGGGGAACCATTGTAAGCTCTGGATTTGGCCATTGAATTAGCACTATGGCTTATTAAGTTGGTAGCACTGTTGTAGCTTGTCTCTTTATCTGACAAGAATTGAGGTGGTTGTATAGTACATTTGTCTCTTCGGTAGACATAGCATAACACCAATGCAACGAATGCAAGAGTTGTGAACACAACACATAACAAGAGAATGATCACCACTACTTTGCTGGAAATTTGCTTCTTTGAAGACTCTGCCTCATTTGATGGTCCTGTTGAGAAGCAATAAAAAAAAAAAAAAAAAATTGATCTATAAATAAACAAAATACACCAGCTAACACATAACAATGTCCAAAAGATACAGGAGTTACCACACTTACTTACACGCTACTCAACTACAATATCATGTAGCAAATAAATAAATGTGTCATCTAATACAATACAAAATTTCGCATATGCCCCAAAGCAAGCTAAAAAGATAAAAATCAGTCATTATATTGTTGTCATTATCTCAAACATAAGGCAAAATAGATATGAACCAGTCATTATTGTGGTCTTCATCAACCAAAATACCTTTTGTTTTCTATGCAAAGAAATATAATCAAAAGGTCTGAACCCTGAAGTCATCAATCCTTCTAAAACACCATTCAAATCTTTCCCCTAAATCAGTATAAGGAGTCAAAGAGAAACTTTTTGTCCTTTGGTGTGTTTAGGCAAGAATAGATGGTGTGGTCAGAGAGGAGTGGTTTTTGGTCTCTCTGATGCCTGGTTTTGCTGATAGCCAATGACTGGAAAGTCATGAGTCATCATTCTGCAATGCAAGATGAGTACCGGTCATCTACTGAGATGAAATTAACATGATCAAGAAGACTCCAGATTTTTCTATATATAGTGGGACTTTAGTGTACTGTGTATTGTGTCAGAGTGGGTGCCCGGTGCCCTTTGATCTGAAGTTGATTCTTCCAAGTCTACTTATATGGGAAAATTCTTTGAACCTTGTTGCTCAAGTGCAGCTCAAAATATCAACGATATTTAAACCATGATTGAACTTAGCTTGTTAACTTCACATGATGTTATTTTGAGTGAATTTCCATTCGAGCTTATCCATTCAAATCAGATATGAATTTAACTAGATTGGTTCATAGTAATATTTTAGTGCTTATGAGCTTATCAAGTGAAGTTTGAGATCAAATCAATAACTTAATGACCTCCAAATCACAATTGAGCTTGGTTTGCTCATTGCCAAGGAAAAAGATAAGTTACTAAGTAAAAATGCAATGCAATATGCACTTTTCCATTATTGTCATATTGGAAATCTAGAATACATAACAGCATTAATGAGAAATATAGAGAGAGTCTCAACTACCCTCTAGCAAGAAAAATTCTTGGAACCTTGTTGCTCAAGCTTAGCTCAAAATATCAACGATCTAGTAACCATGATTGAACTTAGCTTGTTAATTTCACATGTTTTTTGGGTGAATTTCCATTCGAGCTTATCCCTTTAAATCTGATATGAATTTAACTAGCTTGGTTCATAGTAATATTTTAATGCTTATGAGCTTATCAAGCGAAGTTTGAGATCAAATCAATAAACCAATGACCTCCAAATAGCAATTGAGTTTGGTTTGCTCATTGCCAAAGAAAAAGAGAAGTTATTAAGTAAAACTGTAATGCAATATGCACTTTTCTATTAGTGTCATATTGGAAATGTACGATACATGGCAACCCTCCAGCACAAAAAATTTAAGAAGGTGGGACTTCAATGCTGTATTCAAACAATTATTTCAATGATAACCGATGCAACAAAATCTAGAGAAAGATGAACCCCTCTAGGAAAAATTTAAGAAGGTGCAACTTCAATGCCATATTCAAACAATATTTTCAATGATAATTGATGCCACAATTATTTGGCACATAATCTTACAAAAATACCATCTACTTTAACACAAAACAGACCTAGACCACCATTTCCCTTTTTGTTTTAACAACTTTTGGGTAGGATAGAATAGGCCTCTACTTGAGTGAAACATATATATTGAGAACTAGAATGCCAAATTAATAACCAAAATAAATTTTGAAGACTACAATGAGAAATAGAGCTTCATCAGGGCACTTCAACAGCAAGCATATCATGTGGCCTGTAACACCTATTGGAACCGTTGGGAATTGTATCTGTTAAAAGATTAGCTAATGATATATTGGATCAACCAGAAAATCTAAACAAAGGGTAATCCAATATTTGTAACAAACTCACAAGTTTGTTGAGAGAATCTCTCCATCTCTCTCTTATTGTTGTAACAACACAGATAAGTTTGTTGAGAGAGACTCTCTATCTCTCTTATTGTTGTAAATATAAATACACAATAGGACACCATCATATGAGTGTAGTGAAAATTTCCCATATCATTATAACTTGGTATCAGAGCCTAAAATATCTGGGTTTTTTTTTTCAATCACACAATTCCTCCCTGCTTTCAACCACAATCAAATCTCATGGCCTCCGATTCAACCTCCTCCACTTCAACCAATGCTTCAACATCTATCACTCTCCTCTTTTCCATCACCTATTCCAAGAATCCCAAACTTGGCACAAGAATCTAAATTATTTGTTGTGGAAGAGCCAACTCCTCCCCATTCTTTATGGGACTGAGATGTTAGGTATGGTTGATGGCACAATCAATGCTCCAACCACTATCTCAGAAAATTCTGTAGTGGCTCCAAATCCAAAATACCTTGAATGGAAGAAGAAGGATCAGATTCTTCTTAGCAGGCTACATGCTACGTTAACTCTTCAAGTACTCACATAAGTTGTGGGTTACAAGTCTTCGTATGACACATAGGCAGCCTTAGATCGTGCCTACATGTCTAAGACAAATGATAGATATTATCACATCAAGCATAAGCTTTCCAATATTCGGAAAGGATCTTCTGTGATCACTGAATATATGGATTGTATTAAAATGCTCTCACATGAGCTCTCTCTTATTCAGCAGCCCATAACTGATAGGGATTTGATTGGTTGTATCCTTGACGGACTCGATCTTGACTATGATGTTATAGTCAATTCTGTTCAGACTATGTCTATTTCTCCTTCATTTGAAGAACTTAACAGCATGCTTCTTAATCATGCCTACATGTCTGAGACAAATGCTAGATGTTATCACATCAAGCATAAGCTTTCCAATATTCAGAAAGGATCTTCTGCGATCACTGAATATATGGATCGTATTAAAATGCTCTCACATGAGCTCCCTCTCTTATTCAGCAGCCCATGACCGATAGGGATTTGATTGGTTGTATCCTTGACGGACTCGATCTTGACTATGATGTTATAGTTAATTATGTTCAGACTATGTCTATTTCTCCTTCATTTGAAGAACTTTACAGCATGCTTCTTAATCCAGCATGCTTCTTAATTGTGAGAAATGATTGGAAATCTATCATAAACCAAGTCCAAATCGTTAAACTACTACTCTTTTCGTGTCTGGCAACCATAATCATGGAAATTCTTCCAATCGAGGAAGAGGGCGTAACAATCAGCATCACACTCATAACAATCAGCATCACTCCTCTCACAATCATGGCACTCATAGAGGCTCTTATCGTGGTCATGGTCGTGGTAATATACCTCCAACCTACTCTCAAAACTCAGACACCAATTCGCCTCTTATCTGCCAGATTTGTAGCAAGGTAAGTCATGGTGCGCTCACATGATGATCTCCCTACAGCATGCTTAAGTTGTTCCATTAATAAAAGTTGTGGCTTGCCATTTTAAAGATCCACTGTAAAAACTCCTGCCCCTTTACATCTTATTCACTCAGATTTGTGGGGTCCTGCTCCAGAATTATCTCATGGTGGTTTTCGTTATAATCTAATTTTTTAGATGATTTTTCTAGATATACATGGATATATCCATTAATTCATAAATCTGAAACTTTTGACTACTTTCGCAAATTTAAGCTTGCTGTTGAAAATCAATTCTGCATCACTAAATTTAAGCTTGCTTTCTAAAAACCTGATTTTTGACAATGAAGTGCAATGGAACATATCTAGACGACGCAAGAAGTGAAAGATAAAAAGAAATGTGGAAGGAATAGAGTTGTGAAACTCTACGAATGCTAGTGTTTAATGTCTTTAGCAAGACGTTGGGTCGACTCACTAGTCGAAAGTATCAAAGACTAGATATGAAACATCCTTATTGACCCTCTTTTCCATTTTCTCATTTAATGCCTCACTTGCAACAATATACACATCCTCCAAAAGAATGACTTGAAAAGAAATTATGAAAGATGCAATTTGTTTCCTTTCATCCATGGTCTTGAAAATAAAATCAATGATGAGCGGCCTTGCACTTGGCAAGGCAAAGTCTTTCAAAGACTCAATTGGATTAATAGGAATTGCACTCTCTTCATCCCTTTCCTCTTCCTCAATAATTACCATCTCCTCACCTTCCAAGTTAGCTAAGGAGTCCATTAGAGAGTTCATTTCATTTTTGGAATTTTCAAGGTTAAAACCACAATTTTTATACATGTCAAAAAGGCATGTCTCAAGAGGATCTTTGGAGATAATATAAGGAAGGCCCTCTTCAATAAGTTCCTCCTCCTCCTCCTCCTCCTCTCCTACCTCTATAGTGGTCAACATCTCCTCACTCCCTAAAGTATCAAAGGCCGTGGTAAAATCATGATCAAAACAAGGAAAGTCCTCATTAATCATGTTGTGCTCTATTGAATTAGCCATTGGTGGACTCATTAACTCCTCAAATTGCTCACTTGCTACTTCTTCCTTTTCACTCTCATCATCATCATCTATATAAATTGAAGTTCTTGCCATTTTTTCATTTGCCTCTTCCTCCTCCTCTTGACGAGAAAGAGTACTTGCAATTTGCTCAACTTGAGCTTCAAGCTTGGCTAAGATTTGAGAATGTGAAAGAATAAGTTGAGTTTGTGAATTAAGCACATCAAGTAGAACTAACACTTTTTTCTTGAAATTCAGGTGAGTACCTAGAAGGTGGTGGAGTTGGTTCATCATAAAATGGTGGGGGAAGGCAATAGTCATAAGAAGGATTAAAAGAGTAATCAAGTCCATGATAAAATGATGCATGTTGAACATTGGACTCAATTTGGCATCACTATAAATTATCTTCAAACTGATGGAAGAAAGGAGTATATTAACAAAGTTTTTGCAGCTCTTCTCAGTAATAGTGGCATTGAACATCGTATCACATGTCCCCATGCTTTATTGTCAGGGGCTTATTTGTTATTACTTATATAAT